CTGAGCACCTGGCGGGGCCCAGCGCAGACCCCGCGGCCGGCATGGTGCTGCTGTCAGGGCACGGCGAGCAGCTGGCCGGGGAGCGGGTCTGCCCGCCCGCCGCCGCTAAGGAGATGCCCGGCGCCGAGGCGGAGAGCAGCCCTGAGCAGGGGGTGGCGGAGGCTGCCGCCGAGGAGCCGGACGAAGTAGAGGAGGAAGAGGACTGCGAAGAGTACGAGGACTTCTCCGAGCTGCCCGACACCTGCAGCATCGCCTCAGACGACTCCTTCTACCCTCCTGGCGGGCTGGACGACGAGGACCTCTGGTCCCTGGACGGGGACGAGCGCGACAGCCCCGAGGCGCTCAGCCTCTTCCGAGCGTGCTGCACCAACAACAGCATCGTGCTGAAGGCGCTCATCCGACAAGGCCCCCAGGAGGAGGAGGTGCAGGAGGCCGACCGCAACCGCAGGGTGAGCATCCCGCGCCGCGCTCCTCCCGCTGCCCCGGCAGCCCGGGCATCCCGCGGAGCGGAGCCAGGGGCAGCAGTCGTGCGTGAGTTATATCCTTCCCGGTTCTTGAGATGCTGCTCTGCAGTCCCGTGGGGGACGGGACCCCAGGCAGCGAGGAGCAGAGAAGGGTGTGACTCTCTGCCTTGTCAACCCTGACTTTCCACCTTTGGCTTAAGGAAGGGTCCGATTTATGGGATGAGACAAAGGTTCAAATTCCGGTTTTTCCGCGGTCAGTTTTGAATTGGGTCTTGTTTACCTTGTTTATCGGGGGCCAAGAAGGGAATCGCTGCTAATGGCTGTGTTCAGCATCAAAATACCTTCTTCTTTTCTGGGCTGTTCATCCCCTGCGGTATTTTATGATGTTCACCTTGAAATTTTGAACTGCTGGTAAAAGTTTATGGTTTTGGGTTTTGGGGGGCTTTGTTTGTGGGGTTTTTTTGTGTTTGTTTTTTTTTTTAATATTGTTTTTCCTTTTCATTTAGCTTTCCCCCAAAACATAAGGTTTGTTCCTGGTTTCTAGAATGCCAAGCAGGGCTCAGGGTATTCCTACATTAAATCAACATATTTCAGAGTTCACCTTTTTTTTCTGATAATCAATTTTTGGGGTTTGTATCAGTATGAGTTTTGTGGCTCAGTTTTTTCCTGTTACTCAGTTAATTGCGGTGACAGAAGTGTACTTCTCTAAATCAGAAGGTGAAAACTTGGGAAAGATTTTGTGGTTAGTGCATTACTGGGGTGTTTGAACAGCAATACTGAAGATTACAAATATTTCTACAGTTTGTTTTAAACATAAGAAGTTATTTTCCATAAACAATCTGCAAAAGCAGTTGTGAACATTCTGTGACCAACAGCGTCACAGAATTATTTTAATTGGTCAAGTTACTTGCATTACTATTATTATTATTATTATTATTATTATTATTATTATTATTATTATTATTATTCTGGTAACATAAGTGGTCTTTGCATCAAAAAGAATGTCATAATTTGTGTTTGGTTCTGTCTAGAGAGGGGCTTTTCTTGTGTCTTACATATGTTCCTAAACATATCATTATTTCTTCTCCAAAGGATTGATTATAATAGAGATTTTTAGTGATTTGACTTATTGTAAATTTCTTAAAAAGATAAAAAGTCATATGAACACATCTGAGGGAGAAGCAACCTATGGTGTGAGGGTAGGAATGAGTAGCACAGGACAGAAAAAATTTACGTCAGCTCTTCTGCCCAGGTGAGGATATGGCGTGGTTATACTTTAGTGAGATCCAGTTATACATTACAGGATATTTTGAAGATCCTGCAGATACACCTATCCTGTGCTGTGCCTGGGCTGGAGCCAAACCCCAGCCCTGACACTGTATGGGGTTTGGCCTCCAGCCTCTGCTGAGGCCCACTGAGTCAGCATGTTTCAAGTGTGTGACAGTGTAGGAGGTTTGACCCCTCCATACATGTGGCATAAAGGGCCTCAGAGCTGACCCTTCTGAAAAGGTGGCCTTCCCACCCAAGGGCAAGAAGCTGCAGGAACCCTCCCTCTCAGGGCTGGAGTCCTGTAGACCTCAGTCAAAAGGTACGACAAAGTTCAGCACAAGCATCAGCCTTCATCCTGCAGCTGCTCTTTTGGCAAAGGTGATCAGATTAGGGTTGTGAAAGCAGTGAATTCACCTGTTTGGACAACCCCGGCCTTCATTTATCCCCTTCCCAAAAAAGCAAGTTGCTCTTTATCTCTTCAGCTCCAGAGAAAAGATACAAAACTTAAGTTTGAATCTGAAAGTTTATTTTCTTTGTTCATACTGTAGGAATCAGAAAAACCCCAACAAAACAGAAAGAACATCTACTTAGGCAAATACTCAGTTTGACCTGAAATTAAAAATTGGCATAAAATTCTGTTTTCTTCATTATTTTAGGAAAACAAAGTAAAAAAATTCTGGAATTCAGGAACATGCAAAGCTACAAAAATGATGTGGTAGACATGAGTTCACTTTCTCGCTGCCTCCCTCATAGGAGTGCCCTAATCACAGCAGTATAGAGCAGAACAGTCAGTCTGTTCCAGACAGATGTGAATGGGGTGGGAGAAATCTTTTAACTAGGAAGCAGAAACTTGAGGTATGACTTCTGCTCAGGGATATTGAGGCAAATTCTCATTATGTTGCAAAGGAAGACCAGCTTTTTTAGATAATTTTACCTAACAAAATGAAAGTTTCATTCAGGCCTTTTATTGCCCTTTCTGTGGATTTTTTTTTTTCTCTTGAATTTGATTATAAAGTCATTCGACATTATCCATGAATGAGACAATTTTGCTGCCACAAAGTAACAGAACAAGTTACACATTCCTGTTGTTCTCATGAAGTTTTTTAGCTGCTGAAACTAAAACTACTGTTGGCTTTCAGCATCTTCTTTTGCTAGGATAATATTTGTCTACAATGTTATCTTGTATGCATTTGCTGGAAAGGTCTATTTTTTTTCTTATTTTTATTTTTTTTCAACTTTTTTCAACTTTTTTCAACTTTTTTTCCCTCCCACATTGTGAACAAATAAGCTGCACTTTTGCTTCTCCTGAGTTTTAATTTCTTGTCCATTAGACAAGGCAGAGAATGAATAATAACTTGCTTTTTGAGAAGTGGGGTGGTGAAGGGATAGCTGTCCAACTGAGGATATTAACTGTTTTTACCATCCTGGTCTGATACCCTCAGGTATGTAGGTACAGTACAGTTTCATTTTCACAGTTTCAAAATCAAGTTTACTTCAAAACAGACAAAACAAGTAACAAGCTATTGTAATAAGACAACACTGTATTTTGATTCTGAAAGCAAATAAACTCAGCTCACAAAATGTATCATGAAGAAACTGCCAAATACCCTAAACTGGGCAAAATAAGCCTGCTTTATTTATAATTAGTTTTACCTTGTCCCTAAAATATAAATATATAAACTTAAGATGTAGAAGCAATTCTCCAGAAAATGCTAGGATACCCTTACTTATTTTCCTCCACTCTTTGTGCTAAAATACATCCATTGTTACTTTTCAGTCAATTTGCCAAGGCTGGATAGTGGCTCTTTGTGTCATTTCTTCAGAAGTGGATTTTCCCCATAGTCTGTTCATGAGCTGCAGAACCTCCTGCCAGACATGAGTTTTCATTGAATTCAAGTTCCTTCAGTAAACTGCACAACATTTGATTTATTAGTCATCACATGTAGCCTGACGATCTGTACCTTCCCTGTCTTGTTTTCATTACTGTCAAGACAACAGTTGTGGAGTTGTATCATTGACTGCAGAGGATCCCCAAATGGCTGATCCCTTCATCTTCTCTTGCATTGCTGTCTGTCCATGGAAACCTGAAAGACTTTTTCCTCTCCTTGCTCAAACTAACACTGAAATATTTGGAAAATAATTATGACAGCACATAATATATTAATTTTACACCATGCAGGGTAACCTCGCATTCTTCAGTGTTTGTGTATTTACCCTAACAGTAAAGAGGAATTTGAAAATAGACACAGGAAAATAAAATTGTGACTCTGGTGAAATTTCCTGACCCAAGACCATAGTGTTGTCTGTATAATGGTGCTACTTTTTACCTTGTTGTATGGGGACTAGCCAAATTTCTAGAATTTCAGATATTTTTATATCATCATTTTAACATCACTTAATATCAAATTTTGCCTGGTGATCAGCATCATATATATACTCAGAAAGACAGATTTTCAAAATCTGGTGTTACCTAACTGCAGAATGCAAGCAAATTTAGAAATTTGCCATGACAATAGAGAAAGCATTAAGAGATAGGGGAGAGAGAAAAGAAGGCAAAGAATATTCCCTTCCCAGATTGAAAATTATCACTGCAGCTGATCCACAGAAAGGTTTTGTGTTGATCATACATGTGGTATAGCCCATATTAGCAAGAATATTCTGTTGTAGTCTTTTTCAGGATTTTTTTTTTCTTTTGTCATTGCTCAATGAGTCTTTTGTCCAGTTCCATAGACAGCTATGGACATAACTGTGCAAATGTTTCTCTGAATGCAGCCTAGGCTTGTTTGTGCACTGCACACTGTGAGTGGGTATTTTGGAATGGCATCACTCACCTGGTTTCTTCCTCACTGTGTCCATAACAGCATCCGAGGCATCGGATCTGTCCTGTTGTCCTTCTTGCCCTGTGCTACAGGCTGCTCCTCAAGCTCTGTACTGCCAGAATGAAACTGTTTCAGGCAACTCACCTGTTAAAAACGAGATTCACTTAAGAAATTATAAAAAGTTTAATATAAACAAAAAGACAATTAGGAGACAAAGGAAATAAAGCAAAGGGTTAAAACGGCCAGGTGCCCTGGTGCCTTGCCAGGAACACACCTGGTATCTCCAGAACACTCTTTTTATCCCCTCCTGCTGTGAGGGTTTGATGCATATTTAAACTTTTTCAAGAAGTATTTAGCATGTCCTCACCCTGGTTCCACTTATTTAGAACATGCTCTGTTTGATTTCTATTTCTGCTGTTCAGCACTATTTTTGCTGGTCATCATTATTCTTGCTGATGAGCATTATTTTGAGTTTGGTTTCCTTTCTTCTGCAAATGGTCAGTGTTGATAACAGTCTGGGCTCCTCATCTTTCCTTTGAGGGCAGCTGGGCTTTGTATCTTTTGCTGATAGCAGCTTGGGCTCTATTGTTCTTTTCCTGATGACAGCTTGGGCTCCACTGTCTTTGCCCTCTGGGGTTTCCTTGCTTTGTACCTAGGAGATTCCTTTAAGCGTAAAACTTGTTAGCAAGAAAAAAAGTACATACATAGCCAAAAAGTATTTAACATATGATATTCATCTTAATAGTTGTGAAAGCCAATATTACAATATAGATTTATAACATCACCCAATTTAGGGAGCATTGCCCTTCAGGATTTTTTACATAGCAATGCACGGTGAATCCTCTATGGAGCTGACACCTGAAGTTGTCTTTGCCAAAGGGCTGGACTTCTGAAACAGTGACTGGTTGTGATGGACAGGGAGCCAGTGGTTTGATTCCCACTTTCTGGGTGAGGGAACTTTGTGTTGGATGCTTTTCTAAAAGTCATGTATCACAAAAAGTGCTAGAGTTTGTGTAACACTCCATTAACTTGTTTTATTTATTTATCTTCAGATTGTTAACTTGTAAAAATAAAATATCCAGGAGTCCAACATTTTCTGGTAAGGGATGAAGTTCTCCCTGTCACATATTGCTTTTCAGTTTTCATGGAACGTAGCTTAAGTTAATCCATGTCAGAAAATAGATTTGAAGAACATTATCTGCTACAGTGTTCAGAATATTTTTTTAATTATTACTTTCATAAGCAACTTAATTTCCTTCGTATTGTCTTATACAAAGCATTCTCATGGAAACAACTGTACTGAAACTTAACATCATGACACTAAGCCATGAAAGGGAATTTTTTGGGGTGAAAGTACTTTTTTTAAAAAGACAACAAAACAACAAAAGTAATATAATTTAAATCCTTAGAAAAGTACAGAAATACTCAAATGCAGTAAAAAATCTCCCTGGAAATACATGTTTGTGCTTAAAAAGGAAGCGAGTAAGATAAAGAATTGTAGATGTCAAAAAAATGGGGGAATTCTTCAAATACAGTATTTACAGCTCAGTGTTAGCCATCAGAAAGGAATAGATAGAGCATGGAAAATGAAGTGAGCTGGCTAAGAGGGATTTTGGTGAGCTAACCAGACAATGAACCAGACTGATACAGGTAGGCACTCAGAGGCACTATCAGAAGAGTGTGGGCAGGTTAGATGTCTGCCTGCTTGTCTGTATTCATCTGCACTGTTAGGTGACTAATGCCTTTGTAAACCTGGCACAGAAAGGTATCTTTTAAAACAACTTTACTGAAGAAAAAGTATGTGCACAGAATATAATTTCTATGGATTAAAGAGAAAAATTAATAAAGGCCATGATGGTGTGTAGACATAAAGAATAGGAATGTATATCTTTAGCATATTGCTGGAAATGCATGGCCAGACCAGACTATGTCTTCCATGGAGCTGACAGGTAGTATGATTTAACTTGTACTTAGTGTCAAAAGCAGCATTAGCTAACTAACAGTAGGTCCAACTGGAATGGACAGACTGGAAGACCACATGAGAAAGTTATAAAAGTTAAATCTAGTTTCAAGTGATAGTTTCAACTTCTGGAGAAACCAGATGAAGAACAGTTTCCTTGAAAAATTTTGACAAATTGCTTAATGCAAAGTATATGGAACGGGAGGGGTGTTTTTAGTGACAGTTGCACAGGAGCAAAGGTCATGTCAATCTTCAGTTCTGCTCTGAGTAGTGTTTCACGTTAGTGTCTTAAATCAAGTGGGTAGACTTGCAGAGCTCCTCAGAGATGCAGGAATGATCCTGGTTTACCCATGTGAGCACAGGTTGACTCCAGATGTTAAAAAACATAGCTGCATTTAAAATCTAATGACACCCTAACAAGACTGGTTGTCTGGAAAAACTGTCATCAGTAAGTATGACATATATAGTATGCTTTTAATATAACACGTCCATAACATACAAGACTGTGGAATGCCTTACTGCCTTTTCCTAGGATAATACTTGAGCTTTATTTCACAGTGCACAAAGTGACACTGCTAATGCCTTCAAACCACTAGGAAACTCAAATTTATGTTCTCATGGAGGAATTACTCTAGAAGGAATAGTAGCACTAATTTCCTTTTGTAAAACTTCGTAAAAACCTCAGGGAAAATTTGTTGAGGAATTGTAGGAAGTTGAAACAGAGAGCGCTCCTACAAAACATCTGATTGGTCTGAAAATACAGGTTCCTGTTGAGTTCCAGTAGCTTATAGGAGGTACTGGACTTCAAGTCTGGGTACTGGACTCCCAGTCAAGATGCTGGGAAAGGAAGAGGTCCAAAAGCCCCAGTATTCCCAAATTCTTCAGCTCCAAGCTAGGTGCCAGTAAGACAACAGTGATACCTTGTCTTATCAAGGCTTTAGGTCTCAAGGCAAGGGCTCTGTGGAAGAAAGAAAAAAATGCTCCTGTCTCAAGCATCAGATTCAAAGCTGCCTGCTTAGAAGTCCCACAGGAACAGTGATTTTAGGTGCTAGCTGTGGTGGACAACAGGTCTCCAGTGCCACATCTTTCAGTGTCATCAAGGGCTTAACTCTCCTGTTCTGAACCTGCTGGTGTTAGAAGTAGTGATGTGGGCTGTGGCTCTTGTAGTCTACAGAGTGTTGACAGATGGAAAGGCAGAGACAGGGATGTCAGCACCTCATCAGGGAGTTCCCTTTTCAGAGGTGTGAGACTTGATCGTCTTTCACTCAGTCTTTTTGCTGGGCTTCAGGAGACATTTCAAAAAGGGTTTTCAAAGAAGCATTAACATTCACCTTTGTATGTGGCACAGAAACCTCTTGACATCGTCCTCATTTTAGTCACACGGTCTAGTGTGCTTGGGAATATAAACTATGAAAACAAGTTGAAAATAAAAAACATTGAACAAGGACTACAAGCAATCAAAACACCTATTTGAATATATCCAGACATTTCAGCAGGTGCTGTTTATGTTCAAAATTTGTTCTACTACTTAAGAAGAAATAGTCAGAAAGATAAAATACCCCCAAAGCTCCATTACCCATTTTGGAAAATGTCACTGTGTGACAGAGACCAACAAAAATCAGGTGTTTTACTGTAATACTTCTATATGTTGGTAGTACTTCATCTTCACAGAGGAGAATGAGTAATAACTCTTGTATGACTTTATGGGTGTTGTTTGCTTCCCACCAGATGAGCCGAATGTATATCAAGTTTATGTAAAATTACATTTCATTAAAACACATTTTTCTTTTCCTAAAGATAAGTGATACATGGTCACCAACTAAAATTCACTGTTAATTTTGAAATAAAGATAGACTTGAAAGGTGTAAGCAGCCTTTTACTTATAGAAAATCTTGTTAGATGAGCATGGCAGGTGTGTGTGCATTGCCAAAGGGAACCATTTCTGGAACGAGAGCATATGTGCAGTGCAGCTCACATCTACCCTATGCAGGGTTAGCACCTCTGGTGTTGACCAAATGTGACCACACAGCCAGCACTTAGCCTGGATTTTCCCTGAATCCCAGGGTGTTCTCTGAATTCATTATTGGTTTTTAGCCTTTTTAATTCAAACGCCCAAACTAGTATAATTTGTTGTGTTATGGTTTTGGAAATCATTAACTATGCTGGAACTAGAACTGGTGAAATACCTATTTGCTCATGCTGTATGCTTATTTCAGATATGGTAAGATAGCTTTTAAGTAGGATGACACAGATCATAAGATGCTGCAGTTTTTCCCCAAATTGTAATTTTGGTCATTAATTTCCTTACCTTTTCCAGTTCTTGTACTTTTTTTGGACAAATTATTCTGTTTTGGCTGAGAGGGGGTGGGGTGGGGTTAGAAATTCATGTAAGCTCTATACTGCCTGCTAAGAATTTTCCTGCTGTTCCTTCTGTATCATCTGTCATTACACTGTGGAATTAGGTTTATCTTTTTGTGACTGAGGTAGAACTGCACTAAAAACTAATAGTAGAGTTGCTAAAACTGCCAGTATTTTTTTTTAAGTAGAAAAGAAAATCTCTGGAGAATGTGAAAGCAATGAAGAATTCCCACAGACCTTATCTGAGACAGGAATTCACCTTCAATGTTTCCATAAATAAAGTTTTTCTCAGAAGGTTACCCCTCTAAATTATTTAAAATATTATGCCACATAGGTTTGAATTTACCCATTTCTGCGTGTTCTTTAATTAAATACAAAAATGGAAACCCTCCAACCTGAGCTAGATATACTCCTGTTGCATACTCAATGACTCACAATAAGAAATAATCAAGTACTCTAGGAAGAGGATTCTTGTCACAGAGCTTGTGGTTGCACATCTTGCAGTGAATTAGCTGTTCAGATTGTATCCATTATGGGAAAAACCCACTGTGTGGAAATAGTTCCTATTTTTCAATTCTATTATTTTCTATTATGTCTGTTAAATTTCACAGGGAGCTATTTGAAAGCAAGATGATGCAAAAAGGGAATGACTCACTGTTGAGCTTTTGTTAGTTCACACGTTTCAGATGTATAATGTTCTGAGCCTGATCCTGTAATATCCTCTCATATATGAGGGTAGGGGATTTGTTCTTTTGTTTTTTTGGGTGGATTTTTTTTATATTTTTTTTGGTTTTTTGTTTGTCTTTTGCTTCTTAGTACATGAGACCTTATCGTTGTGACACCTTGTGAGTGGACAAACCAACTGCTGGCAACAAGAGTTGCTGCCAGCAGCCACTGGAGCTCAGAAGTGGGCTTGTGGAGAAGTTTTGAAGTTTTGTTTCTATTACTGTAGGGGGGAAGCTTATGCAGAATCCATTGTTATTAGTTTTCTGAAGTTCAAAAGTGGCTGATAATGCAACATATTCAATCTGTTCATAAAAAGAGCCTTTCAGGCAGTATTTGGCTTATTTTTTTTTTTCTTCTTTACAAAACCTAGATATCTTGCTATTTGGAGCTAACAGTAATAAGGGTCAGCTTACCTATTTAGCATTTGATTGAAAAACACAAGAAGGATATCAATGTATTCACAAAGGCGTCTTTTAATTGTGGATGAAAGGAAAAGAAAGACTTTACTTGAAAGGTGGTGTGGTACTTATGTGTATCTGCAAGTATCATATAAGTTTGATAAAGGATCCAGGAGAAGGCAGAGTCAAAGCTCAGCTCTGCAAAGGGGTTAATTTAAAATACTTACCTTTCAACAGTTTTCTATAGATTTTCTATAAAAAGAATGAAGTAGCAATAGCTTGTTAGACAAAGATAACACATATTGGCCAGTTCTGCAAAATGAAATACCACAAATATTAATGAAATACCACAAATACTAATAAAATGTAAGTGTTTAGACTTACAGAGCCCTTCAGAGCTAGTAAAAAAATATAAACATAGGAGTTTTCTGGTTACACTAGGACAAGCTGTACTATTAAGTAAATGTGTGGAAGCATGGAATAATGCTAGCCAGAGGAAAGCTCTGTCTTGGGAGAAAAAGGTTATTTTCCCTGCTGTCCTGTAGGAACTTTTCAGGCTCACTGCTGTGTTAGGTGAGTCCTATCTGCAGGGGAAACTGGGCAGCACATCCGTATCAGAGACACTGCTCTGCCGTATTGCTTCAGCAGAGCTCCCCATGCAGAGCTGCCAGCCTGGAATAAAACACAGAGTGTTCCTGGAAGAATAGCCTGGCCAGAGGTTTGAGGGGGGAGTGAAATCATTCACAGCTGACAGGGAGGGAAAACACTTAATTTTGAGATCTCTGGGAATAGAATGGAAACCTCTTTCTTGTACCCAAGGGACAGGCTCAATCTCCCAGGCAGAGACTGTCCCACAGCCTGCAAGCAGTTGCTATATGAAAGGGCTCAGGTGGTTCTGGGATCCCCCATTAACCTCCTTCCATCACCAGTCATTGGGACAGAGGCTAAGCTGTGCTGAGTCCTGCTGTCATTTTTGTGGGGTGGGACTGAACCTTCTTTGCCACCAATTTATGGCTGTTCTTTCTTTTTTCTTACTGCATTGATGTTGTATTGTCTGCAGGAATTTTATAGTCCAGAAAATTCTTCCTCTTGCAAGGATGCAATAAGGATGCCCCAAGTGTGAAGATAACCATGAGCAGAGCTGCCTGTGGAATAGGAACTGGAACTGAGTACTAGATATGTGCTAATCTATTTAGTTCCTTACTTGAATTAAAAGAGTGTGTTTAATGAAGTCATATGTCTCAGTGCATTTACAATACTTATCTCCATAAAAGTTCCCATGAAGTGTGTAAGATCCTCTACATATATGTGTATACATTAAACAAATATTGAAATATTTAATACTCAAGTTAAACATTTTAGAAGCAGTAGGTTTCTAAAGCACCTGAAAGTAGATTGTGGTAAGGTGGGGGTCACCCTCTTTCTCCCAAATAGCAAGTGACAGGACAAGGGGAAATGGCCTCAGGTTGTGCCAGGGAAGGTTCAGGTTGAGTGCTATAAAAAAATTCTTCACTTAAACAGTGGTTGAAATGGGAATCTGTGTGAGGAGCTGCAGAAGTCACTTGTTTTTTTCAGCCTGGACAAGGGGAGACTGAGGAGAGACCTCATTGCAGTTACAACTTTTTTGTGAGAGAAAGAGGAGGGGCAGGCACTGATCTCTGATGTGTGGTGACCAGTGACAGGACCTAGAGAATGGCCTGAAGCTGAGTCAGGGGACATTTAGGTTGGATATTAGAAAAGCATTTTTCACCCAGAGGGTGGTTGGGCACTGGAACAGGGTCCCCAGGGAAGTGGTCACAACACCAAGCCTGACAGAGTTCAAGGAAGATTTGGACATTTGTCTCAGACACAAGGTGTAACTCTTGGGGTGTCCTGCATAGGGCCAAGAGCTGGATTTTATGATCCTGATGGGTCCCTTCCAACTCTGCTTATTCTGTGTGATTCTATGTAATTCTGTGATTAAGTGTTGGAACAGGTTGGTGGGAAGCAGTGTAGTGCTGCTGGAAATGTTGAATAATGAATGTGGTGCTTCACAATATGGCTTACTGAACATGGTGGCATTCCACGGAAGGCTGGATTTGATGATCTTGGAGGTCTTTTCCAGCCTTATTGATTCTATTAGTCAAATATCAGGAGCCCAGAATAAAAGAAAGAAAAAATAAAAAGAGATGGTGAATAAATGTCAAGCTTTCTCTTAAAATTAATCTCTCAAATTATTTTCTTCAACAGCAAGAAATTATGAAATGTATTTTACTTGCTATTGCCATTTTTTTTTTCTTTCTGTGGGCATTTATAGCTTGACCTAGTTTATGCTTATTACAGTCAGCACAGCTGATTATGAGCAGAGGCTCCATTCACAGATGGGTGCAGGCAGAGCTGAGGTATTCAAGTATACATCTGTGGCAATGTTCACAGATCACAAACATGCTTACCATCCTCTTAGGATCTGAAGTCAAATGAGGGAAAAAAACCGATAACCTGAAGGTTTCAAGTAAGGTGATGCTGTTTCCCAGTACCTCTCGTATCTCAGGTCCAGCACTCTTTTTTTCCTGTTGTTAAAATTATGAAACCCCTCAGCTATGAGATGTCAGCAAAAGGTGCTGTGGTCTCTCTTTGAAGCTTCAGTACCTGATGCTAAATCTGTAGGAACTAGCCTCCTGCAGTAGGCACACAGACATTAACCATGGGGAGAAATAGCTCAACACTGCTGACTGAATGTTGTAAATATATGTGATATGGATGAAGATACCACAGAGAGGAAGGGCTTTAAAAATTGCAGGGCTTCCTGTAGTATCAGTGGAAAGAAAGTGGCACCAGGGTAGGCCATGGCAATGCAGGAGCAGGATGCCCAGGGCACAGGCACTGAACCCACAGGGATATTCTTGCCCTGCTACTTCCAGCTCAGGTCCCAGTTGCTGTGTCTGCTGGAGCAGGTGATCTTAAGATAAGATACTCTGCCTTACCTGCTCACAAGGCCACATTCACAGACACTAACTAGTTATGTGCAGAGTCCACTTTGCTTACCTCTTGTGCATGTGTTACTGAAGTACATCTTCCCAGCAGAGTGAGCTGAGGGCTGGTGGCTTCAGGCTAGACTGCTTAGAGGGAAACACACACCTGTTTGAACACTTCACAAGCTGGGTGTGCAGAAGAGCACGGTTCACAGTCTTGTAATGAACATCCTTGGCAAGCTAGCCTACTGTCATTTATCTGTTAGTCTGCAGAGTTTGAAAATTTAGGTCAAATATATCCAAATTTGTGTTTTGAGAATTTATAAAAATAAATTGTTTTGAGAATTAAAAAAACCCCTCAAAAAACAGTACTGGTTTTTCTGTAATGTCAAATATTAAGTGTAATTTCAGTTGTGAGTTCAAATGTGTATATTGACCCTTTTTTTCTGTTTACTCCCTGCCATCCACAAAATACATTTCACTTATGGAGGAGGAGGTTTTTAAAATAGTGCTTAGTTACCATGTTTAGATTTTGAGTACTTGCCTAAAAATACTGTATTTTCCTCTTTCTCATGTAATTTCTATTTCTAGTACAGTGTCTGCATCAGTTGTGATTTATTACCAAATTGTTAGTGTGTATCATAAAGCAACTAAAAATTAGAGCAAAGCCTGTACAGTTTGTCAGCTTATCAGTCACAGGGGAAAGAGCAAGTGAGCACTGTTCATGTGATGCAAACCCTAACAGAAACATTCAAATATTGTCAGCATTGCTATCACAAACTTGCTTTTCTTCCCAGAGCTGTCTCCAGCTATTTCCTTTCAGATTTTAAGGTCCTCAGGGAGTGCCTCTGGAATGACTCTACCTCATTATTGGTGGTACTGCAACCAGCAATATTCCAAAATACACTATTTTGAAATCTACCTGTATTGGCCGAGCTTTTAGGATTATTGCTACAAAGAAATATCAATTAGTATGACCATGTTATTTACAGAAATTCTACAGTAAATTCAAAAATCCAGTATGAGATTTACAAATGTTAAGGGGAAGAAGGTGATTTTTGGCTGTAGGGTTTTGATAACAATGTTAGAATCAGTTAATTGCAACGAGCCTTCATTTTGGGTATGTGCTATAGTTTGCTTCTTTCCAGAGATAGATTGAAGGAGTCAGACTCTGAAGGTAGCAGGAAACAGCCTGCCCATAATTTTCAGGTAGAAATGAAAATACCAGAGCAGCTCTTTAAAAGATTTCCATATCACTAAATGGCATTCTCTCATTTTGTCAGAGAAAGAGAAAAATAACTCCAAACACTTAGAAAAAACACTCAAAAATATTCTGCTACTGCTTCTAGGTGCCTGAATATTGAGAGAGAAAAACACAAGATTTACCATTCTTTCACTGCTCCTTTGTGGTGTCTTTAGCTAATAGAGCTATAGAGTTCTCAGAAAATCTTGGATGAGAAATTGCAGCATTTGGTTAGTAACTGTAAACCCTCTAAGCATGTCAACTTCTACTCCTCAAAGAAGAGAAAACAAAAACCAAACGGTATCTTCTGAAATCAAGAGAAAGATGAACTGTTAATTGGAAGGAGATCATATTTATTCTTATTTTTTTTAATTCCATTTTTTTTCTTTTCCATAAAAATTTGTCTTTCTTGTTGATGGGAGTAAAGGAAGATCTTAACAAACCTTCCTGTTGCATTTACTACACTACAGCTTTTCTACACAAACCCAAGTGATCTTAATTCCTATTGAGCTAGATGTAAAAGCCAGTGGAAACTAACAACTTCACAGCCAACCTCCAGATCAAGATATTTTGAAAGAGTAATAAAAATGTAGCGGTAGTGAAAGGGGAAACCAGGAATTAGAAAATTGATTATATAGTCTCTGAAAAGATCTAAGTTAACATGAAGTATTTCTCCTTAAGCAAATATTTAGGCCAGAGATATATGATGCAGAAAGGCACATATTGATGGGGTTATGCATTCCATGCCACCATGGCAGCTAGCTTATAGCTGCCAAATAAATCTGGCCATAACACAAATCCAATTTGGCTAGCCTAGCTCATGCCAGAACAAGTCCCTGGATAAGTTACAGGGGACCTTCACCACCCCCATTGGAGCTTAGTTGCAAGCGCTTCGCTGGTCAAGGAGCTGGGCGGTGCTAAAACCTCAACCAATAAATTCTCTAAGCCTGGGAGTTTTGAACCAACTATATAAGTAAGTTCCAAACAATAAAATGAGGCTGTTTTGTCTGAGTATCAAGAGGACTCATTTGAGTCCTTGGATTCTGTCTCCCACCCATGACTGGCATGTAACAATGCCATAAGAATGTAATGTGATTGAAGATATACCAAAAGTGAAATGCTGTAAAATCAACAGTTTTCATATCTGAGTGTACAAGTTTTCCTTGCATGTGAATTTAAAAAAGAGAAGGAAATTATAAGTTGTTAGTCTTCCAGTAGAGACAAGTCCTTGATATTTCCTCCCTGTGATTTCTAATATCTAGCTGTGTAGGATAGAACACACTTTTTTTAAGGATGACTGGGAGGTGTGATACTTCTGAATCAAAAACAGAAAGGATCATAACCTGTAAAAGAGTTTTTGAAGTCATTAAGGTAGACATGTCCTTCATTTTACTGCTCCTCTATGAGTCATTCATTGCCTTTGTGCAGCTGATGCAATCTCATCTGACCTCTATCTTGCAACTGAGGCATGAAAAGGGTTTCTGGGTCTCATTTGGTAGAGCTGGGCAGAGTCTGGTAGGCTTCTGTAGCAAGTGGAATGTTCTCTGTGGAATAAAGGGCTCAGAGGCTTTGAAGTCTACATGGTTAGAATATAATCTCTTACCTTTTCAGAATCAAACGTATGTGTACATTTCTTTGGCCAAAAAACAAGGTGGGAAATGAGACATTTAGCAGTGGATGATAAAATGAATATTAGAGGAATTTAAAAAATGAAGAACAGAAGGTGTAACTCTCAAAAAAGTGCCTCTGCTTCTAGAAATTAGGTCTGAAGAAACTGCACCAGTGTAGATTTGGTGGTAATGAAGGAGAGCCTTTGTTTCTGCTGAGCCCTGTGTCCACGCTCAGGGCAAGAGAAGAGCAAGACTTTGCAGCAGACTGTGCTGCTGGCTTACCTTACAAGCTCCTGTGGCTGAGCTGCTCTAGTAGAGGCCTCAGTCTAAGCAATCAGGATAGCAAGCTGAGGCTGCATGGGGAGTTCTATATGGACCTGGGAGGTTTAAAGCTGCTGAGATTTACTGTCGTCAGACCATGCATAGATGGATTTAAGGGTGCTACTTAAATGTCTGCTGCTGAAAGAGAGCAGCTAGTGTTCCACATACTCAGTTGTGATGAGATGGAGAGAAGTGCCAAAAAAAAAAAAAAAAAAAAAAGTGGGCAAAATACCATTTAGCATCTTAATTGTGGTTGAATATATTTAGTCATCAACCTAGAAGAGCAAATCTTCTAGTTTTGGCTCTATCTCCTCTAAAACAGCTTGACTTGTTCTTGAGTGTGGCTGGTGAGTGACTGGTAAATGTACAAGGACTAACATTAGAAAAAATATTGTTATTCTTTAGAGTAGATACATAGTGGGTTTTGTTCAGTGTAA